AAGGTTGCCCCTAAGGGTTTTCAAAAAAAAAAAAAAAAAAAAAAAAAAATCCACGAGGCCAATAAACTTTCTTTGGATCAAAGAATGAATTGGTTCATACTGACCTTTAAAGCAAACAACTTACAGTTGATAATTTTATGACAGTTTTAACAATAATACCCTCTGGCTAGTATTTATTGTTGAGAAAAAAAGGAGAGAAAAAATGATTAGCGATTGTATTTAAATCTAGACTGGTCTTCCTGAAACATGTCATGAGACTTAACTGATTTGTTTGTTACAAGGTTTTGTAAAAGGCAGACAATCTGAATATTTCCTACTGATAAAGCAACAGGCTTTGTAGGTTTAATAAAAAGTCAATCCAAGGTAACTGGAAAGGAATCCAGTTTCAAGGTTGTTTTCCACAAATTTGGTCTTAACAGCTGGCTGAAGAAGGTAGTAAGTGGCCCGACTAGTCTATTCTTGAGTGAAACCACCAAAAACAATTCTCAAGAGGCATAAACTACCAAAATATATGCTATGTTTAGTCAAGGAAATTTCTTCAGTCTTCACTTTGTGCACAATCATGGTAGGTAACAGGATCAAGAAGCAGCTTGGGATATAATTTCTGGCCAATTCACTGAGATAGACATAAATAAATAGGAAAGATGTTTAAAAATGCATGGAATGAAGATGTCTTCCAATTTTTTTTCCTGTGACTTCATTAGATTTTATAGAGTGTTCATTAGCAAACATAATCTGGCTCAGAGTTCCCTATTAAGCCTTTATAACAGATATCAAATATAGGCAAAACTACAACAATTATGATATTTTAAATATATTACAATTTTTAAATTATGTGAAAAGGAATATATATAGAATAATATATAAAAATACATGTTATGTAACATGTAAATATAAAAGATATACAGAGACTCATTTATAAACTGATGCCTATTTGCAAATGGGTCATTCAGCTCAACCTAATTTTATAGACATGTTGAAAAACACAGATGTGCAGGATGTGCAATCAGGCTTGTTTCTACAACTGGTATTAAGAATGCAACCCAATTTTACATTACTTTAGATGAACTGTTTTATGACCTCTTTCTTTCTTCCTTAACTGTTTTATAGAAAACATGGGCTTGCTCAATCTTATTGGCTTATTCCTATGTTCCCATTACATATAAACTTAAAGCAAGAGGAAGTGGAAGAATGAGCTATGATCCACCTAATGTATATTTAGGAACAAATAATCCGTTTCTCTAGAAATCTGGTTTATATGTATTCCTGCCTTCCCAACTCCCCATGCTGTTGGTTGAATTGCATCCGAGAAAAAAATCTGGCTTTACCATCCTCTTCAGAATGGTTAACTCTTTCTATTTTAGTACCAAATTAAAGAGTTTATTTTCTCAGCCTGTTTTTCAGTCCTCATTTACCTTCTCTAGATATTTGTTCATGCCTAAATATTTTCTGGTCAGAGAAATCACAAAGTACCCATCAGATGAAAGGTCATCAATTGAAGCAGAAGAGGTGCACACACCAAATGAGCCTTTCACAAATCAGTTCATGGTTAACATCACTATTACTTTAGACCTAGACAAAATTACCCTATCTTTAAAAATGCATTTTATGAGTTAAACAAGTAATTGTCAATATTCACATCCTTAGGAAATATGAGGATAATGATGTGTCAAACCCTTTAAAATCTAACTTTAAAAGGAAAACTGCAAACACAAACTTCTTTCTCATCCTGACATCATAAATCATCAGTAAATTCCCACAGTGGGTGGCACACAGTGTGAGCGAAATTCATGGCTCTGTTTTCTAGAAATCCAAAAGCAGCACAATGTCTGCATTACTCGGAAACCTTACTCATTTGATCCAATTTTTATAAAGGATTTAAAAAGGATTTTTATATAGGATTCTCCATGTAGCTCATTAGTGATATGTTCACTTTTACTCCAAGGACTAATGTTTGAACCTACCAAATAACACATTTTTCCCCATTAAACTCACTTTTACATATAATTCCTAAACATGGTTTTTTTTAAAAAAAGAGTTAAATTGTTTCTATCACCATAGAAATAGGATAGAGTAGTTTCTTTGTTCATTTTACCAAGTTTGACCAAAGAATAATAAACACTCTCAATCCAAGCTCAAGAATCCCTAATTTCTTCTTTCCCCAGAAGCTAAAAACAAAATAAAAAGTTGGTTAAACAAAACAGTTACAAAGCAGATTAGTAAAATTCTTCTAATATAAGAAGTGAATTGTGATGCCAATTTTCTATAACTCTGGAAAACAAGTGATATAATAAGAATCAGTAAACAAATCTGGAAGTTTAAATAATCAGGTCTTTTTTTTTTTTAACATGGATGGAATAAGGACTGTTCCCCTCTTGAATGTTTACACTCTCTTCAACAACACTCTGCGTGCTTTCAGGCACATGGCTGGGGATACTTTAAATTCATCACCTGTTTTGCTAGCTGAATCGACTTGTAAAATCCAGTCTTGTCTCTAAATTGCTGCCTATTTCATTCAGGATCCACAGATGGATGGTGACAGGACAGTCTCCTGGGAGACCAGCCAGGCAACACAGAAGCAAATGGAACACAAGAACGTAAACTAGGATAGCCGGAAACTAGCCGGAAACAGCAGAGACATCAAAATACTTACACTTGTACAGCAGAGAGTCTCCATGCAGCAAAAAGAAAGGGGAAAAATATGAATGGAAGAGAGAAAAAGCAACAGCATTACAAGAAAAGGGGAGGGAGAGGTACCATTCATAAACAAACAGAAAAAGCTCCACAAAAAGCCTTCATAGCAAAAGAATAAGGCAAGGAGGCCAAAATAGTATTAGTTTAAGGCATCCAATCTAGCTTTTTATAAGCAGAAGCACAATTACAGCTTGAAACTGCAGAAACTCTTAGAGATGTTACCAATTTTGCTAAGCCACAGTCCAACCCCATAAGGGGGATAGAGACATCATCAGCTACAAAGGCACATGGTAGAAAGAATACTGTGTGGGTATTAGCAAACCCCATGCTGAGCCACAGGATTAGTCCCAGTCACAAAGTAAGGACAGTGTATCTATAATCATGTCCCTTCTGGGGATCTTTCATGTCATCCTATGCTGCCCACTGCACTTTAGGATGAAGTAGATCTGAATCCTCTCTCCCTCTCAGTCATCAAAGCTTTTCAGAACAGGATCTTGCCTAGCATGGTTACCTACGCACAGTGTAATTAAATGTTGATGATACCTTGTACCTTAGTGGGAATTTGAGTCACCTTACATTTCACATTAAATCTCTAATTAATTAAATCATTTTAAAAGTCTTGTTGGTCACCATTAACAGTTGTTAAGGCATCTTCTTAATATTCTGAAAACTTATAAAAGAATTTTTAAAAAACATAACAAAAAATAAGAAGTCCAGTCGTAAAATGTCAGGCTTTGTGAAAGCCAAGTATAGGTGTATGTGTATGGAGGGGGTCTTTTGCAAATCTCCCCGAAACACTGTGATATACTCCACTGACCTGGGGCTCATATATTTTCCCTTCAAGTTCTTTATTTTTTGTGTGTCATCTTTCCTCAATATACAACAGGATGAAAATATAGGGCTCTTCAATTTGTAAATGTAAGCAGTTTGGGTCTCTTCTGAGGAAAGATGGCACATAAGTAGAAGGAAGTCCCCCAAATCATCACCACTATCACCACTGTCATCATCAATATTATCGGCTTATTACAAAGGCTTCCACCAGCAGTATCAATTTCCAGACTTCTAATTTCATTCTTTATTAGGTTATTTTCTTTAAATATACTTCCTTTTATGATCCATTAAATTAGACTGAAAACACCCTTGCAGAATGGAAGGAGAAAAAGTTAAAATACATTCCAAATATTCTTGAGTTGTATGAAATAAAGACTATCCCATCTTAACATATATCCCCTCCTCAAAAGCTTCCTTAAAGAGGTGT